ATATATATATATATATATATATATATATATATATATATATATATATTTAATGGTACCCATGATCAAAAGAAATGAAGTGGTTCACTGGTTTTAATCTTTTATTTCCAATAGCCTTAAGGTTAGGGGATCTAATCCCCAACCGACTTTTTGTTTAATTTTTTTTAAAACGTAATGGTGCACCCATTCTCCGAAAATCCTAAGGTCAAAATCAACCACCTGAATCGACCAATGGAGATCTGATTGAGGTGGACAATGGAAACTCTTTTCTTCATAATCAACCACATATGGTTTGCATCTAATCAAAATAAATAAAAACTAAGGTCAAATGTAAAGATATTTCAGTGGGTTTTTGTGATAAATTGGCCATGGTGGATTGTGAGGAGGTGTTGGAAGCATGGAGAGGAGAGGAGTTTTATGGAGGTTCTGGATGATGTTTATGTTGATGATACTTTCGATGGTTGCCGGTAAGCTTTCCCCAGAGGATTTGTTTGTATTTCAAAGAAAAAAAGCAAAAAAGAAAAGAAAAAAATTACTAAAAAGATATATCAGTTTAAGTTATAATGTTAATTAATCATAAGTGCTTGTCCAATTAAAATCCGACACGTGGCAATATTAATCAGATTTTACTCATGTTTTGGTTTTCACATGCCTCCAAGAGAGTGAGCACATTCTCTTTGCCACCTCAGCACGTAATAGTGTACTTATTCCATTTTAAAATAGTTCAGGGGTAATGAACCCCCGAAAAGTAAAAGTATATAGTTAAAATTTCGGTCAGATTATGGGTACTTATGCATTTTTCCTTTTCAAAACTACTAGAACAACTTTTCAGGAGTAGAAAGTTGTCACAACGAAAGAAGCATACTAAACTTATTTGAGTACTCACTCACTGATCTTAAAACGCTATAATGGGATAATTAGCCCATAATAATGTGGTTAGAGCAAACTGTAGAAAAGCGTGTAGTTCCACGAGAACCCAATAGTTTTGGCTTAAATCCTATAAAATTTATTAAAAATATATAAATAATCTATTTAGAACCCAGCAAGTAAAACAAATTATGGTTCGGAACCCATAAACTAAAATTCACAGCTTCGGCTCTGCGGCACTGAGGACATTAAGCTCAACACAATACAACGCACGTTTTAGTGAAGAATGACATTAAAGTATTTAGATGATTCAGAAACTTCAATGAAGTGAAATATATTAAGCAAAAAATACTACGTCAATTAAGTTCAAGTTCAAGAGATGCAAAACATACAATCTTAATGGTGCAACTCATCTATCCAGGTCTTGGTGGATAGAGTTACCTCGTATTTGTTACTGGTAGGGGTGTACATAGGTCGGGTTGGTTCGGATTTTATAATTACCAAACCAAACCAATTGTGTTGGGTTATTAAATCTAAAGACCAAACCAACCCAATAAAACTCGGGTTTTTCACTCTCGGATTTTCTCGGGTTTTCGGATTTTTCGGGTTTTTTC